AAATGACAGAGAGGCTGACATGATGACATGTTCAGAAGGGTATGTTAACCTATTAATGATATTTGCAAGCATGTAATTTTAATCTTATAAACTCTGCTATAATGGATTTTATATTTTTATATAATAAATATCCAAAAGACAATCTTGCTTCCAAGACAATCCTTATTTTATATTGTATTCTCAATTATTTATATATGTTAAATAGAGGATCTCTTATACTATATAAAATTATGGCTAAGATATCTGTATGGTTAGCCCTACTAAGTTCTATGCTTTAAGACATTATAGTGGTAAATAAGGGAACCACACACGGTTACAGATTATCATGGGACACTGGACAGTTTCATGACCTAGAAAACCATTTGGTCTGGGGCTTATATAAAAAATATCAGAAATATAACACGGGCTAGACATTTACTGGCATGTGTTAGGCATCCAAAGTAGATGTAAGTATTGTTTAGTTGTTTACAGATTTAAGGACATGTTTAAGTAATTGAATTGTGAAAGCATTTTAACTGGAATTAGACGTTACTATTTCTCCTGTTTTTACAGGTACAGGAGCATGAACAGTGACATATAGTTACAAAGTTACTTATTTAAAATTATAACTATTGTGGCTGTGGGTTGACTGTAGATACGGAGCATCCTTTTTTTTCGGGATTAATTGGACAGCTCACTAAAGGTTGATATTGTATATTAAGGAAAACGACAGGAAAGAATGGAGAGGGAGGTCTGATCCCCAAATGGGGGAGAACTACCCTAACCATTCAAAGAATACCTCCTAATGTTAAAAGTCACATATAATAGGGTATATAACCTTTATTGAAATACATATAGATTAAAAATCTTTTTTCTTGTACACTGCCATTGGATACATTTGGCATTACTAATATTCACTTTTATTTTTAATCTATATGTATTTCAATAAAGGTTATATACCCTATTATATGTGACTTTTAACATTAGGAGGTATTCTTTGAATGGTTAGGGTAGTTCTCCCCCATCCTGATCCTGATGTGCTGACAGCAGAAACAAAAGTAGCAGGAAGCTGATATTGGAGGGCAGAGGGCATTCCAGCTGGCTGATTGGCAGCACAGAAAGGTGGCCATGTACACAGAAATAAAGGGTTTTTATCTCTGGATATAAACATATTTAAAAATAAAGTTGGTCTATTACAGCTTTCACATCCATGAGCATAGCCCAAAGTGAGGACCTGGTTGGATGCACTAAAGCAGAGATAGCAAACCTATTGCATGCAGAGGCCTCCCAGTTGGTAATCGAGACATAAGCTTGCAATATCTTTTTATAAGCACTCCTCGGGCACACTGAGCAATTCCCTTATGCTCCCCTCTTCTATCTCCAACCCTACTCTCCCGTGACATATTATCAATGCTCTGCCACTATATCTTGTTGTCATATTGGATCTCTGGCAAGGTGAATAAGGGGATTTTGCAATGCCCAGTTTCATGTCACCCTTTGGGCTACTGATGGGAAGAAGGTGTTGTAAGCCGTATACGGGGGCATGGGAAGCCTACTGTAACTCCTGCCACTGCTGTCAATGCTTAGGGCTAGTGATGGCCCTGGGAGTGTATCCTGTGCAGGAAACAAAGCATTAAGGGCACTTCCAAACCATCAGAATACATTTTTTAACCCTTCATTTAATTGTGGATTTTTGGAAACAGCAGTAGGTGGGATCTAAAATACTCTGTAATTTCAGTGTAGCTTATATGGATAATCACAAATGAGTATATGGATAATCACAAATGAGTACAGAATCAATCCATCTGCAGATTATTGTGTATTTATTATTATTTTTTATAAGATTAAACTATTCTGACAACTATTGATCAGTTATTGATCAGCCTTTATTTAATTTAGACTTTTCTCAAACAAACATTAATATTAAAGGTATGGCATTAACTTATAACCATACCCTTAATATTACTATAATGGTGTACTGTACAATTTTCTTCATCCAATTTCATCGTTTTTTATCATTATTCTGTGACTTCCTCCTTTTTTTTTTTTAACTTTATTTTAAGAGACTATATTCATGATAATCATTTAATTTCATTGAATTGGTCATAGTGCCTGGAGTCCCTTGGCAATGTCTATTTATTCAGTGTTAAATATTTTTCAAGCATTTTAACACTAAGTATGGGTACCTTGCCTACCACAGACTGGAAGTATGGCTAAGGCAGAAAATGCACGCTTCTTTCTAGCATACCAATTCATACCAGCAGTGGGCACTGTGATAGGCTGAAAGCAGTCATCTGGCACTCGTTACTAATCACAGACACCCATTGCTACTCATGCTAATGTTTCCTCATTAGTCCAAACAGCACCAAGGGAATGGGTTACTTAAGACTTTCATTTAGCATAAAAACATTAAAAACTGTTTTAAACTGAATGGAAGAACGGTGCCACAAGAATCCAATAACTACAAACACTTTAATGAGTTGAAGCCATGCAGTGTCTCTTTAAATCCCATCCCCCCTTACTAAGAGACAAGGAAACCGACCTGCTGGAGGTGGCTTACATATTAACTCTTTTTGCCATTACATTGGGCCTTGTCCCAGGAGGAGTTCTTGGGATCTCATTTCTATTTACCTTTATCTTATAGACCACCCCAAAAAAAAAATGTAATATAGTGCCAGGAAAACAAAATTGTTTATCTGGTACTATAGCTTCCAAGCTAAAAAACCCTTCTGTCACTTACCAGAGTCTAGTCCCTCGGCGCTGGCTCACGCTCGGCCTCCACAATGGCCATGCTCACCTTAGAACAGTGAGGATGTCCAGTGTCCAGTGCATAGCGTGAGGATGTCCAGTGTCAGTTCGGCGACCAAAAGTTGCCTAGCCACCCGGACGTCCCTCTAGTGGCTGTCTTGTAGACAGGTTATTATTGCAGCTTATTAAAAACTGTAATAATTACCTTTGCAGGGTTAAGGAACCTGGGAATATGCACCCAGAACACTTCAATGAGCTGAATTGGTCTGGGTGCCTATAGCGTCCTTTTAAGTCTGTGAAATGTATTTGTGTTTCAGTGATCTGCCTGTCTCTGCTGCAGAACTTAAAGCTCTGTATTAAGGTTCTGCGTGTATATAGAAGGATAGACCACAGAAAAAGGATTTTTTTTCCCTTTACAAAGTTTTACTCATAGTTAGATGAAGAGGATTTTTTTGGCATTATATCTTGTGGTTATGCCAGGCATTAAGCTTAGCTGCAGGCAGCCATTGAATGTGATTTTTTTCCCCCATAGACAAATTGGGACTTTTTTCAGTTTATAGTGGGTGGTTTTAACCAGAGGTAATATAAGTTCATGGGTGTGATAGAATAGCTGAAGTGCCAGTAATTTCATTGTTGGGTATTAG